GGCAAGTGCGCATGTTCCATGTGTCCGGGTAGATAATCCCCAATGGCATGCCCATTGCTGTCTTAAAGCTCTTGCGTTCGCCAGACTTGTGCAAAGGGAGTAGCTTGAAGAGCAGGTGTTCGTAGCCTATGTTAGGCCGGTTTCTGATAAGCTAAAGGAAGAAGAGAAGATCCATCCTACTATCACCAGTCCGCTGGAAGAGTACAAGGACTTATCTGAAGCACCTTGAAGTTCAGGAGTAGTGCCCAGACCAATCCAACACCGTATAGAGATAGAACCTGGCATTAGAACGCCTAAGGGGGCAGTCTATAGGATGTCTCATAAGGAGTTAGAGAAGCTTCRCAGACAGTTAGATGAGCTCCTGGAAAAAGTGTGGATCAGGCCTAGCTCGTCACCGTTTGACGCACCTGTTCTATTTGTCCCAAAGAAGGAAGGAGAGCTACGCATGTGTATAAACTACAGGGGTCTGAACGTCATCATAATCAAGAATGTAGAGCCCTTACCGCGTATAGATGAATTGTTAGATCGAGTGCAGCTATGCAGGTACTTCTCAAAGATAGATATGAAATCAGGGTACCATCAGATAGAGGTGCATCCTGACGATTGGTATATGACGGCATTTCAGATAAGATATGGGCATTACGAGTTCATAGTGATGCCGTTTGGACTTACTAATGCACCAACTATCTTTCAATGCTGCATGAACGACTTGTTTAAACCATGGTCAGATAGATTCGTCGTAGTTTATTTAGAGGACATCTTTGTGTTCAGCAAGACCCTCGAGGAACATGAGGGCCATCTACGGCAGATTCTAAGCAAGCCGAGAGAGTCTAACTTCAAGATTAATCCGAAGAAGTGCGAATGGGCCAAGACAGAGGTCCTTTACCTAGGCCATGTACTAGACGGCGACGACATTCGTCCTGAGGACAGGAAGATTGCATCCATTAGAGCCTGATCAACTCCTAAGACGCTGACAGAGTTGCGCTCATTCTTAGGACTGGCTAACTACTATAGGAAGTTTGCGAGGAACTTCTCCACAATCACTGCTCCTTTTGGTAGGTTACTGAAGAATGAGACTATATGGAAGTGGGACCAGGATTGTACGCCAACCTTCAAGAAATCGAAGAAGGCCTTAATAGAATACCCTGTCCTCAAAGTTGTTGATCTGTCATTACCATTTGTTGTTACTACATATGCTAGTCAGTATGGCATAGGTGTCGTCTTGCAGCAAGATGATGGTAATGATTATAGACCCGTAGTGTTCATGTCAGCCAGAATGCCCTCAGAAAAGGGAGCAGCATCGACATACGAGAGGGAGCTCTACGCTCTCAAGCAGGCCTTAGATCACTGGAAGCACTACCTGCTTGGGAGATACTTCAAGGTATATTTTGACCATGAGACTCTTCGATGGCTAAAGACATAGGCCAAGATGACCCCCAAGTTGACTAAATGGGTTGTTGAGATAGACCACTTTGAGTTTGAGTTAAAGCCTGTCAAAGAAAAGTACAACGTGGTAGCCGATTCTCTGAGTAGGACAGTTGATTACTTCGGCGCGAAAGTGCACTATCTAGACATTGGGGCTGATTTGCAGCAGAAAGTACGCGATGCCTATGCACAACCCCTAACGGCCATTTCGTCAAAACGGACATATTATATTTTTTGAACGAAATCATAATTGACTTTTTTTGCCAAAATCCGGTCGGAATTTTTTGCTCCTGGGGGTCCGGCGTTATGGGAACGCCGGACCTCCTACATGTATCTGGTCTATGGTTGAGACCAGATACAATTTTTTTTTTTTTTTTTTTTTTTTTTTTTTTTTTTTTTTTTTATCTGGTCTCAACCATAGAGCAGATACATGTAGAGGGTCCGGCGTTCTGGGAACGCCGGACCCCCAGGAGCAAAAAATTCCAACTGGATTTTGGCAAAAAAAATCAGTTTTGATTTCGTTCAAAAAATATAATATGTCCGTTTTGACGAAATGGCTGTTACCCCATCTACAGTGAGCTGCAAAAAATAGTAAAGGAGGCCCTAGATAGTGAACCACACTACCGGACCACGAATGGGCTACTATTTTAGAAAACCAATGTCATTGACAGACTATGCGTCCCCAACAATGAAGAGATCCATAGCCTGATCTTAGGAGAATGCCACGATACAGAAGGGCACTTTGGATGACAAAATACTTTAACCAACTTGATGACGTCATACACGTGGCCAGGTATGAAAGCAGACTGCATAGAGTATGTGTGCAGTTGCAAGGTATATTCGCGCAACAAGACTACAACAAGAGCCCCGCTAGGTCTTCTTAGGCCCTTCCCTATTCCATCAGGACCTGGAGATTCAGTGTCCATCGACTTCATAGAAATTGGGGTCAGAAGCAGGCATGAAAAAACTCAAGTCATGGTCATAGTAGATAGATTTAGCAAGTATACCTAGGTTGTTGGATCGGACGTCCGGGACCCCCTGACCGTCCGGGATGTCCGACCGGACGTCTGGTTGGACGTCCGACCGGACAGGGTACGTCCGACCTAGCGCAAAAAAAAAAAAAAATAATAATAAAAAAAAAAATTTGAAAACAATATATGTTATGTAACATAACAATACAAGCGACTTTTGCCTTGAAGTCATGTTCATATTCGCAGTCAATCATGAGTTAAAAATCAAAAACCGATTTTTTTTTATTTTTTATTTTTTTTACGAAAAAAAAAAATTGTTTTTCCGGACGATGGGGGTACTGGATGTATGGGGAGACGTCCGGGGGAGACGACCGGCCCCCGGACCATTGGTAACCTAGAAGTATACAGTATTTGTCCCCCTGCCTTCAGAGCCACGTACAGACCTAGTCATTAGTAAGTTTTTTCGACTTCTGGGTAAGCGAGCATGGCATGCCGTTGTCCATAGTTAGCAATAAGGACACACCGTTTACTAGTCAGAATTGGCAGGATCTTATGAAAGTCTATGGGTCTAAGTTGTTAATGTCGTCAACCTTCAGGACGACACCCAAAGACTAATGGTCAGACAGAGCAAATGAATAAGATCTTGCAACAACTACTCAGAATGTATATTAGACCAGATCAGGTAAATTGGATGAGATGCTTCCCAAAGTAGCAAGCGCCTACAATAGTAGTTTCCAGCTAGCTACCTTTGCAGGACTCCTAATGAGTTGGATAGTAGGCCCAAAATGGGGCGCAACGCTACTGGGAGTGCTGCGCCCCGGCATCAACCGCGGCGGTGGAGTGAGGCGGCGAAGCGGGTCGGTGTCCGGCTTGCATCGCTCTCGCTTTGAAGTATCCATACGAACGAGCTAAGGCGGGGTGATGGCGTGATGGAGACGCTGGTGGGGTTAAGGGGAGTTACTGGACAGGGTGTCGAGCTTACAACGGCTACCTATTAAGCGTTTTGCGCACGCGCGGGGAGCAAAGGTGCTGGTCTACACCGTATCACGAGTTGATAGGGAGAACTAGACCGACTCCTGGGGTCTTCCTGGGAGTTCCGCGTCCATACTCCATTGCTGGTGCATTTCTGCCCGTGGCATAGAGCCTGTGAGGTGTCGCCTCTGGTGATGCCTGTGGAGTGCAGTGGAGAGAGCCTTGGGCAACCCAAAGTGCGAGTGAAGTGACTGTCCGTCATCACCGGTGTCTTCGTTTATCGCCATCATCATTTTTTCGTGATCATTACGTCGCCGTATCATCATCCTCCTCATCATCACCATCATCAAAATCATCATCAACATCATCAGCAGGGTGCGGCTCATCATCACCTTCATCAGGGCGCTGGGCGCCATCATCATCAGAGCGCTGGGCGCTGTTCGTCATTGAGCTGATGCTCGTCATCATCAGCATCACGGTTGGTCGGTATCATCGCCAGCAGCAGCACTAACGTCATTGTGTGCTTGGTCGTCAGGGTGATGGGCGTCATCATCATCAGGGCAAGGGGCGCTGTTCGTCATCATCATCAGGGCAAGGGGCGCTGTTCGTCATTAAGCTGCGTTTCGTTATCAACAGCGTCAAGGGGGTGATTCGTCGTCGCTATCATCCTTCATCATCATCATCATCATCATCATCATCATCATCATCATCATCATCATCATCATCATCATCATCATCATCGTTATCATCACTGTCAGGGAGCGGTTCGTCACCGCCATCCACCATCATCATCATCATCATCATCATCATCATCATCATCACCACCACCATCATCATCATCATCATCATCATCATCATCAAAATCAGTATCATCACCATCATCATCATCGTCATCATCATCATCACCAGAGCGCTGGGCGCATCATCATCAAGGGTTGTCGGGATTATCATCAGTAGGGTGCTGCTCGTCATCATCATCACCAACAGCAGCACCAACGTCATCAACAGGAGGTGAGTTATCATCACCATCATCCTTTCGTGATCGCAGGGCGCTGGGCGTCGTCGTCGTCATCACCATCATCATCATCATCATCATCATCATCATCATCATCATCATCATCATCTTCGAAATCAGTATCATCACCATCACCACCATCATCATCATCACCATCAATCATCTGAAAATCGTTTAGTCTCAGGGTGCCGTTTTCGACTTCACGTACATCCCGATTAGCTACATCCTGGTTATTCATATCTAGATCACCTATATCTTGATTACCTAGATCTCGATTACTTACTTCTCGATAATACTTCCATCATCATCACTACCATCATCAATACTAATATCATCTGAAAACTTTTCTGTCTCAGGGTACCGTTTTTGGTTACCCAATTATCTAATAACCATGATGAGCTATATCTTGATCACCTATATTTAGATCACCCATATCTTGATCACCTATATCTCGATTACCTGCTTCTTGATTACATACCTCTTGATTACTACTATTCGCAGTAGTAACATCAGACAAATATGTTCAGGTTGGGATTGCTCAGTAATTTCACTAGTAGGTTTTGCTCTGCCTGTCCTCCAGAGTGGGGTGAGGCGAATTTTCTTTAATCTGTTTTTTCACAATTTTCTTGTTCCTGAGTGGGGATTTCGAACATTGAATTTTAAAGACGTTTTAGGGGGGATAGGATTTCGGGGGTTATGGCTGGAACTTAGGTAGGCAAGGGGGGGTTTTGAGACCCCAGGGTACAGATATACGGTAGTTACCCACAACAGGTCTGAGAACCGCCTGGCCTAAGTTAGGGGACAAGCCAGGGGAAGGGAGGTAGGACTGTCAGCCTGGGCTCCGCCTGGCCTTAGGGAAGCTAGGGGAAGGAGAGATAGGGCTGGCCAGTTGTGGGTATAGACTACTAGTTAGTTGTCCCCGAGAAAGAAACCCTGGGGTCTGTTACAGGGGAGCCTTATTCTACAAGGGTGTTGCATGGTGGGAGGCAATAGCCCTATTGGGAGTAGGGCAGATCGGGGATTGTCTGAGTCTAGGGCCGGGGTTGGAGAGTTGGTCGCCTTCAACCCCAGCGGAAGCAGACAGGGACAAGGGGTGGGCAAAGGCAGCCTCTAGGAGGGGATTGGTTGCCTTCGCGGATGAGGTGGAGGGAGGGGAGGGGATCTGTTCTATGTTGGGGCCGAGGGATTTTCCTCGGTGGAGGCAGCATGAGACAGGGTACAGTGGGTGTGGATTGGTTTGAGTCGTATCTTCTTCACGATCTATCCGTGGCCTTACAATCTTGGCAGCACCTGGTCTTCTTCTTTATTTAGGATACAGGAATTCAGGGATTGTCGAACCTAGACTGATGACTGCTGAAGTTGTTTTGTTCTGTGCTCCTGGATTGCCCATGTGGTGAACTAGGGGGGTCTACCTTGACAACTCATGGGGCGGGGTTAGCCTGGGTAGTGAGAAGAGATCAGCTATGGCAGCGGGGGGATAGGTTTGTCTTGGTCCAGAGTTGCAATATCCTGGTAAGGGAAGGCTTGGAGTTGCTCAGGATTAGGA